TCAACGTACGTGGCAACAAAAATGAAACATAGAAACAAATTAAATGCATATTATAAAATGCGACTTCCAATAATATAAATAAAGGACTTGGACAGTTTGTGTAAAAAATATAAGCACATACCCCTAGCTAAATATAACGCAAGGGTTATCAGGTTCTGTGTTTCTCCTTACTTGCTTGGGGAACATGCAAAGACCTGACTCGGAACAGGGAGTTTACTAAAGCTATGTTCAATAAATGTGGGAAGTAGACAAGATACACAGGAAGGGTATACGAAACCCTTTATTTTTCACTCTTTACAATAATTTCCGTACTTCGGAATACAGAGACCAACTACTTGTGGTCTGAACGTAAGAATATAAAAATATTTAACTAAACTCTAACTTAACTTTGGAATAACAAACGTGGAAGATTGGCCGTATATTAACAGGAAGCCGTATGTAGTACAGAGAACTGTTAACACTACAATACGTTTAATCCTCTAGATTAAACCTCTGGCCTGGAAGGCAACCAGCAACCGAGTAAAACTTCAAAGGCAAGCGGCCTGCTTCGACTAACTCCTTCCTCTCTCTCGCTTGGCAAAAAGCCACAACTTAAGTACTTGGCGTTCGCCAGACAAATTTGCATAAATAAGTTAAAGCTTTTAATTCTGGCCGGAAGTAGAAAATAAGAAGTGATAGTAAAGATTTAAAATAAAATAAACGTTAGTAAAACTTAAGATCCTTACAGGGTAAATGACACTTGAAATACGAGCTAATGCTATTAATTAGTAAATTACATTAATATTACGTTAAAAGTTTTTACAAAAAAACAAAATACAAACACTTCTCTTGAATTGTATTTAGATAAAGTACCTATAACATACTGACTTACTTTAGATATTTTTTTAAGAGTGGGAGAAGGATCATAGAAAAAAACCTTACAGTTCTAAGGGTCCTTTGAATCGACAAAGTTTGACCACCATTGCTGTAAAGCATTCAAGAGAATATATCAATCCATTCGTAAAACATGCACAAACGAACTTAACATTTAATGGTTTTCTTTACAAAACATTTCAATGGAATCATTATAATATTTATTAGTCCAAAGGGACGTCAGCCCGAAGGGCTATTAATTTCAAAACGGCGTTTTGCGTCAGATCAAGTATAAACGGTTGTATTACTTTTCCAATTGCTGCCACCGAGTATTAGCGTCTTGTATTATATTTAAAGAAATTAAATAATGAAGAATCTGCATGAATGTTTATTGAACTGTGCAAAAAGACGGTACTTTTATAAAATTCTGAATAATGTAGTCCTCCACCTAAATATGGTCACCTGGAAGCCTGAATCTTGAATTTAAAATTTGGTTTATTATATATTTCATACTTTTTAAACTTTAACTAATTTTTGATTAAGAAACTCAACGATTTCAAAACGAGCAGTGGCAACACACTGTACAGATTAAAATACTTTTATGCGCACAAGACTGTCTGCCGGAAATTTTAAACATATGCCGCTGCTAAATATTTTTAGCCCAAATGCTCTCGACAGATGTATGCACGTGTAAATGAAATATTTTATGTTACGCCCTTTTGCGCGTGATATAAAATCTGAAAGCTTTAAGATTTTTTTCTTTTGTTATGGTAATGCTTTTTGCACGTTGTTATATTTATGTTTTTAATAACATTATTAAACACTGAACAAGAAACACAATAAAAACTTTTCTAATAAGAAATGAATTTCTTTCTAAGAAATAAAATAAAATAATTACGTTTCGATATTGATCAGTTTACTAATGTTAAATTGCTTAAGTTCACGCCGGGAAATAATGTTATGAATCTTACTTCACGGCACCAATGTTATATCTTAAATTCATATAAAATGTTAAATATGAAACTACTTGCCGTTAAAGGGAGTGATCGTATAGTGAAACGTGTACAGCATTTTTGCGTTGTGAAAAAAATGCATTCTGGGACCGCGCCGTGAGAGGATCGAAAACATAAAACATATACAAGATATAAAGGAAAAGTTCCTATTAAATATATAAAGAAAACATACTGTAAGAGGTTCCAGATTAAATATCAGTTTATTCAATTACAACACAATAAGAAAAATCTTAACCTCATCTGAGAGTCTGTTCATTTAAATTCATAAAAAAACTTAAGGTTTGTCTGGTGATTTAAAAGAAACGAAAGGGAAACAATTTAAGGCCTGAGAGTTAAATTTTAGATTTGACGTTGTTTTTTTTTTTTTTTCTGCTAAGGACGTTTTTGAAAAGCTTGCCTAAAGTTCAAACACACCAAAAAAAATAAAACTTATCTTGAAGGGACATCTTGAAGCGGAGGACTCTTATCTTATCCCGCGTTGATGTCGGCCGGGCTCATCTTGACACTGGTTCTAAAAATGTAGACCCACTTCACTACTGTAGAACAGAAACAGGAGCACTGCTGCCCAGGACGGCTATCCGCTTGGTCCTGAAAGTCCTATGTCAACACGCAGGTAACTCGTTCAAATTTCGCCGGTCAGAAACGTTGTTGCTAGGAAATTACGGCTCGCCTGTTCTTACTCATCCCAAGAGCAAGCTTCACGGGTAACGTCCCAAGTAAGTTCCAGAGTAACATCCACAAGTCCGGCCAACCAGTAAGTGCGCGAGTCCAAAAGTAAGAGTGTCCAGAGTAAGTGTGTAAGAGAGTCTCGCCTCTTAACCAAAACGCGGCCGGGGAGCATATTTGCCGCTCCCCGCCGGAAAACACCTCTCGGAGTCACTTACATTTTGTCCAGCAAGCCCAAAAATCAGCGAGTCAGTCCGAGAGTCAGCCAAAAGTAAGTGTGTCCAACTCAAATTTTCTTCTTGTCCTTCACCAAACGGGCTCCCACTATGGCTTCACTTATCGCCCCCTTAATTATGGCAAAATCTTCGTTTTCAACTCCAGAATGCGGAAATAAGGGTGATCGCGCATGCGCGCCCTTCTTCACTTAGCCAACAACCGGACCCTCAATCGCCAAAAACCTGAATGACTTACATTGAAAGACAAGTAGCAACCTTTGACCTTTCCGTCACGTACTTTCCTCTCTTAAGGTCAACTAACAATGAAAATTCTTTCTCGAACATTCTAAAGCGCGCGAAATCATGACTTGGCGAAAATTGCCTCCCTTTCCCCTGCTTCTTTCACAATGAATAAAAGTTTGTACAAGATTTGCAAATAAAAGAAAATAAATAATATTCATTTATACTAAATAATATTTCCCGAAGCATCTGTTTTCTCCCCAAAATTAAAGCCCCTTAAATTAAATAATTCAGAATCAAAATAAAATTTAAATTTCCATAAATCATAAAATCATTCACCTAATTTTTATAACGCTATCCGGTAATTTCTCTACATAACACTAATAACTTTTTAAAAAGAAATGAAGTAAATTAATTACTTCTCTGGGACATTGAACCGATTTAGTTTACTATATTTCATACATGTATTTAATTTGCCACACAGCTCGCCTACGAGAGCCGCATTTGGCCACGCGTGCTGCATAATCATGCATGTTTACCTATTAAAATAAGTGAGAAAAATTGAATGTTTCAAAGAGTTTAAAATAAAATGTATGAAAGTGCCGTTGCTTGAAATTTTATACGTTCAGAAAACGTGTGACAAAAGATAATTTAAATGTCTTTAAACTATGAAGGGATCCAGCAAGGTACTCCGGTCGAGAAATTTTGCAGCGCTTCATCTTGCAAACATTTCCGAAAAATTATCCATTACTTGAAGCTCTTGAAATGAGTACCGTGAACTTAAAAAAGTGTACTTAGAAGGCATTCGAGAGAGCTTAATAACTGAATAATTTAATATATTCTTAGGATAGTAGAACAGTCTTTTCTTAAAGTAACACGTAACGCATTCTGTTTGCCATTAGTCGTATTTCCTTCTGGATTTCATATTTTCGTTTCTGTTTAAGGCTATAATCCTGAATTTTGTTGATACTTTATATACCATAAAACATTTGAGTTGTTTTACTGTGTTCACTTGAAGTTGAAAAAATCTGAAAAAAAAATTATCCTTCTATTCTTCAGTAAGTACGCAAGGAATTTTCTCCCTCCTCATTGCATGCTTTCGTGGTGTAATTGGTAGCACGTCCGGCTGGCAACGGAAAGTTCGAATCCGAGCAAGGATACGGCTGATTTCTTACATTTCCGAGTCTCCGAATTTGTAAATAGACTCTACAGGTAGTACCTGACTAAAATGATGTGGCCTACAACTCGTCCACTTCCTTCCCAGACGCTCCTTAAGTGGGTGGGAATGTAAAGAAGTTTCTTCTTCCTCACCGCATGGGAAAAAACGAATTTAATAAATATGAGATATATTTTACGCAACATTTTCCTCTTGTTTGTCCCTTTTTGAAAAAGCTTGCAAATTATTGTCCCTTTCATTTATTGTTAATGTACAAAAATTGAAGCAGTAAAAATGCATAAAGTTTTCATTGCTTTTCACATCAGTGAGAATAAAGTAATTATTGTAAAAATGTATTACTGAAAAGAAATGCGTTAACTTGTTTTGGAATAAAATGGAAATTACAGAACTAAACCTTCGTTTCAATCAATCAGTTTTATTATGGTCTTATTTAAATTATTTAAAAGATACAAATTTATAAAAATCTTTAAATGCACTAATCAGGAATGCAAATGCCCTACGTCATATGTTTATGTTTCACTTAATTTACCGGAGTGAGACTGCCAGTTGTTTGGCAACATAACCCCCTCCCAGGCAGATGGGTTTTAGATACCTTTCATCAACTTGTTAAAACGCATATATACGAAATAAAATTTTACAAGCTCAGTTTGTATTTCACTATAGGTGTGCATCGAAAGAAACCGGTTTTTTTTTTTCTTTTATTCTTTAACAGATGAAATGCGGAGCTCTACGGGAAATTTTCCACTTGTAAAATGCTATTCCTAAAGGTTTATTTATCTATCTAAGAAAAAATATTCAATAAGTTTCTGTTCTTTAAAATTGTTTATTCCAGTTAAATCTTAAACAATTTTAATTCTGTCAACTCCTATGTTAATATCATATTAGTTATACATTGGAACCAATAATGTTGGGAGTCAAAGATTTTTCTCTGTACCGAGTAACAGTGTTTCCAAAATCTTACATTTCTGTTATCCAGGGTTACCTGTTATTATAGAAGAATATATATGTATTTTATAGTATTCATTATCAGATAATTGTAAAAACTATGCGAAATAAAATGTACCAATAAAGGGTTCAATCTTTTAACAAATAAACTTGAATTACAACGAAAAAGTATTCTGAATGTTAATACTACATGATCATTAGGATTACCTCAATTAGAAATATGTAGATGCAATTATCATATAAGATAGAATAAAACTACTTTGGTCAAATTTTATTTTATCATTCAGTATTGATGAAATTCATTTTAGCCAGAAAAGTGTCACTTATTTTCGTCTTTAAACTGACACAATATCTACTCTACTCTACCCTAATTTTTATAAAAAGCTTTTTATAATGGAAACGTTATACGACCATTTTTTATGCTTTAAACTGCTAGAAAGATATATACTCTACGCTAATAGTAACGACAAGCTGCTTACTGACTTGCTTTTATAACTTTTTTAGAAATATTTTTTTCTTTTAATTAGTAAAATAGACCTGTGTTTTTAGATAAGCTAATTCTGTACTTAAACGCATAAATTTTTTATATAAATTCCAGTCCATAAAATGCTTATTTTTTCTGTTTACTTACAGTATTGAGATATTTCTTAAAATAATTTTCATTTGCAGCATTACCTTTACTAATTAACCAGTTTACCAAATAATTTTACTAATTAACCAGTTTCATTAACTAAAACGTTATCATTATTATTACTGTTAGCTTCAGTTACCGTAGTTTGATAATGCAATAATAAAATAATTTATCTTGTTAATCATAATTATTTCTGGAATTATTGGTGGCAAATAAAGCATAAGTGGAATATTATATGGGCCTTTACCTTTTTGAGAAGCAATAGAAAATTCACAAGGCCTCTTCAAGTCCGGCTGGGAAACTGCAAAGTCAGGCTGGCGCGCTAGATACAAAAAATGTTCATCACCTTCATAGTGGTGAAAATATTTAGTGCTATCTCTCTAGCATGATAAACAAAGAGTGAAAACTGTGGCGATATTTCTCTTAATCAACTTAATTAGTATACCAATACCTTAATCACTTATAATTATTTAATGACCTAAAATTAAAGAATTGTTATGAAAAAAAAAAAAAAAAAAAAAAGAAAAAAAAAAAAGAAACAGTCTTTCACCTTATACCTACCCTTGCTTCGATAGGGCTGTCACGCTTTTAGCTGTTAAGGAAATAGCTTGTTTTAAAAAATCTAGAACATGTACATAAAACCAGAATAAATTTCCTCGTTATTTATTTAGTTCTGGTAAGAAATTGATCCAAATCCATTATTCAGCAATTCTTATTTTTCTTTATTATGCCTACAGATATTACTAATTCAAAATTTGCTTTTGTGCTCAGTCTTTGCATTGCAAGAAAAAAAAAAAAAACAGAAAATAAATAATTTTTATCCTTGACTGTCTTCAAAAGGATTCTATTATCAAAACGTATTACAAATATTAATATTCTAGGGTTTTATTTATTTTTAATAATGATTATTTTAATTTGTGAGCCTTATCTGCCTTCTCTTATTCCTCTTACTTTTCCTCACCGGGATAATCTACACTCGTTCACCTTATAAGGTGAACGAGTGTGTTTAAACTGATGTAGCGAAAAGATTAGTCAGAGGGTGATTTCGCTATTATGAGCCCACGTTGATATTCTGCCAGCTATTAACTTGAATATCTGCTAATATTCTTGCCGCCGAATTTTTATCCTGCCTGAATCAGCCTGATAGATTAAACTGCATTGTGTAGTTTGTACTAATCTTACCTTTAAATTTAGTATTACGTAGCTTTTAAGTTCTCATCGCAATTGGTCAGTATCTGTAAGCACATTAAGTTCGTGCTGCTTGTAAACTATAAAGTGTTCAATAAAAGGGTCTTTTTCAACTTTTTTCTAGTTGTGTTCATCTTCAAGCATGTGCAAGAAGTCGCAAGGATTAACACTTAAGTAGATCTAATTTATGTTAGCTAAGAGAATTAGAACCTTCAGTTTAAAAAGAGCGATAACGAAATATTTCCCACTGAGGTAGAAAATGAAAAATATTAATTATATATGGTAGACCAAGCAAATGCATATCAACCATACATAATGGTTACTACTAAATATTTTATTAAAAATGCATTCCAGAACTTTTCACGTTAATATATTAAAATTGTTTTCAATTTCAGACAAGTGAAGCAGAGGATATTTTAGGGCTACAGAAAATTAACAGATAGTTTAATTTACCCTAGAATAAAATTGAAATTTTTGGCAAATATAAAGTTTTGGAAATGCATTCAACAGAAATATTCAATAAATGTCGAGAACATAGCATTATATGAATCTGTTCTTAACAAATGCTATCGAAATTGCGTTTATATTTTCTATATTCTTAGAGTATAAGCATTTTCTTAACCGTTAACTTAAGTCGTTTTATTGGCTTTCATTTAATCTTTATTCAGCTATGAATAACTCATTTAATTATAAACTCGATTTTAACTCCTTAAATAATGATAATATGTATAGATAATTTCTAACACATTCTATGTTTACAAATCTTAATTTAATTGAAATTACTGAAATTTTTTAAAATTATTTTATTATTAAAAATATGCATATTTAGATTTTGCCAGATTATTGGATTTTATAGTTCTATTTGGCTGCTGTATAGTATATTTATTATAAAGCTATTACATAAGCTTTATATATTAGGAGCCTGTACGTTTAGCAGTTGATATATACTGCTGGCATATACGTCTACAGAAGGGTAAATTTAATTTTTTTCAATAGTTTCATTGTAATATATTTTTTCCTTTGTCTATGCTAGTTTCGCTCCAGAAATTACAATTTTACTTTTTCCTTTGGCAAAATTTTTTCATTTCGCAAAATAATTGATACTTTACTTAAATGAGCCAGCCCTAGTTTAGGATATATATACTATGACTGCACAATTTAATTTTCAATTTTAAAATTAAATTGATTCATAAATTCTGTAAGCAAAATTTATTTTTATTTTTGTATTGCATTTCGTTCATAGCCTTTTTAGGCTTTTTTAGGTAATTTGTTTGCAAGTGTACATAATTGTTTGTACTATATGAGTGCGAAGGTGTGTAGGGAAAAGAAGTGAATTTTATCAGCCTTTTAAAATAAATTATGTTTGAAAAGAAAGTTGGCAAGTTCTATTTGAAGCATTAAACAAAGGAGATTAAATTTTTATTTTTTGGTTTTATTATGTACAAATTTCCCTTTTTTTATATTTTTGATCTTTGAGAACATCTTTTTATTACAATTTTGTGATTTTCTTTAATTTGCGTTTTACCAGTTTATATTGTAACACGGAGAAAATAGTACGGCATTTTAATCGTTTTCGTTCCGATTTTTGAGAATTTGACATATGTATATTAATAATAATATTTTTATTTTTGCTTTAAATATTTTACATTAATAACAACTATCTACTTTAGTGTGTAGCTAACTGCTACATAAAATACAAAAATTCAATGATGTTACTTTAATAAATCAACACAATAACTGAATTAAATTAGCACAATTTATGTATGGAATTAAATCAGTAATAATATATAAAGAAAATTTTATAAAATAAGCATGCTAAAGCAAGGTAATATTAAAGACTGAGATCAATTATATGCGATAATAAGACATGACTAAATTAAAGGAATATTAAAAAAATTTAGTGATAATGATAGAGATTGTTTTCTTTTAAAAAACAAAGGAAACTGCAGTAAGAGAAAAAGTATTTAAATAAAAAATATCTCATAAGTAAGTTAAAATTACTGCTTCTTCTCAACATATTGTTCCTAAAAGTAACATTCCTAAAAGTTCCTAAAGTTTTCTTAAGTTTAATACAGAGATGTATAACTTTAATGGAAACTGGAATAGACTTTAATAAAAATATTTCAAGCATATTTTTTACAAAATGTTTTTTCACTTGCCTTTGAATACGTTAGAAAATGCTTTAGTAAATTTTCTATTAATCAAATACTAATGAATATATTTTCTTCATTAGGATGTTATCATTCTCTATGACAAAACACGAGAACCATTTTTAGCACATATGGAGAAATGGTATTTGTTTCTTCTCAATAATATTTTTCATTTATGCTCAGTTTTTGTATGATTTGTTTCCCTACACATTTATCAACTGCTATATAAGAAAAGAGTGTTTTAAGCGATCAGGTCTAATATGAAAAGTTCGCAGTTCATTTTAAATTGCATTTACGTATATATTATGTACAGTATGAATACTAGGTAAATGTATAACGAAGTAAATATATGCATATGTATGGGTTTGTTCATAAGGTGTATTGGTAAATTTATTTGAATGTTTTAAACGGGCTTCCTTTGAATATTAAAGTGGATGATGAATGAAATAAAATATGAAGTAAAATATAATTATATTTTCTCGTTTAAATTTTCTATTTAGAGCTCATTAAGATATGTTTATTATTTCATACATTTTATCATCAAGTTAAAAGAATAATATTAGTGAAATTCTTACCAGTATATTTTCTCTAGTTACATTATATTTAAAACTACGTATTAAAAAATTGAATTCCCAAGAAAACAGCTATATTTAACAAAAATAATCTACTACATGCACAAAAAATATATGACACTGAAAAACTCATCTTTGAATTCTCTTTAAAAAAAACAATATGTCATAAGATATAAAGAACAATATTTTCTCTCAAAATGCAAAGACTCCTTATAGTTCTGAAGTTGTGTAAAATATATCTTTTTTCAAGAAAGGATTTTGCATTCTTCTAAAATATTCGTTTTTTGCTCTAACATTTGTAAGAAGAATATATTTTTTTTCAGTTCTGGAAAATATTATTCTGTAGAAAAATTTCAATACGAGAAACAATATTGGGTTCTGAAGCACGTTTTATTGCCTTTTTAGCCGATGTATTGAACTGCATATGAAGCCTTTATATATTAAGTCATTTGATGAGACTATTTCTATAAACAGTGATGTTTTAATTACTGTTTTA